TTCTCCTTCTTGAGGTGCAATGTGAAAGGAGGTTCATGGTGATAAATGTACAGCAGCCCCCACGCTGGGTGCCAGGGATCTCAGCTGAGGAGCAGCTAGAAGGCACAGGCCAGTGAGTGTTCACATAAATGTATACACCTGTGTTTCTAATTTGCACTTACTGATACCCCAGCTGTAGTAATGGGGTGATGAGTGACTGCTTTAGCAACTTCATCACAGGCATTTGCAAGACAGCGCATGCTCTGGACCGCTCAGGCTGTAAACCAAGGTGTGTGCAAGATATAAAATGTATCTGACAGCTTTAAGCAATCAGCAAAGCGTTTGCCTTTGACCAAACCCAAAGCACTTGCACAGCACCAGCATCCCTGTCTCGCCGGGACGAGGCATTGTCAGCGGTGTCTGGCGCTGGTTTTTATCCCAGCCCATACATCAGCCTGGGGAAGCTGTCTGGGATACGGCAAGGCACCTCCTCCCCGCTTTGCCTGTGCCACAGCAGCTGGTGATGGGATCTTAAACCCCTGATGCAACGGGCTGGGTATCGTGCGTGCAGCACCGAGCGCTCAAAGAGCGTTTTTGCAGAGGGCCACAAATGCTCTCACATTACTTGGTGGTTACATTCCAATCAATATGGTTTTCATAGACCAGGATTAGTTATGTCACCTTCTGTACTCCAAGGTAACACAAAGTACCGCATCAAGTAATGAGTTTAGCTATAGATAGCACAGGTTAATGGCGCAGCCATTACGTACGCAGGGATAAAGCCTCCATGTGGCCTCAGATATTATAAATCTGTTTTATTAAGAACGGAAATATTGACAGAGACTCAATTCTGCCTTATTCTTTCTGCAGCCTCCCAGGGGTTTTTGACAATCCACTTCTGGTGGCTTCCAGCACAGATAGAGAGACTTTAATCTCTCAGAGGAAAACTGCTATTTTGGGGTGAGCATTAACCCATTGATTTATATTTGCAAACATTTGCAGCTGTTTGGAGGCTGAAACGGAGCCAGGAGAAGCATAAACCAGATGGGCTGGGCTAATTCTCCAAACCAAGGTAGGTTTGAACTACTTTGAAATGATGCTGGCTGGTCATGGCAGTCGGGCTCTCCGTCCTTCTTGTCTCACCTCCCAGCCTGAGCAGTGTGCATGGCTGCCCAGCTCCGTTTAACAGCCACTGAGTGTTAGCTGATGATTCTTCTATATTTTCATTACCAGATCTGAATGAAAATCTACCCCTTTTTTCTCCTGCCCGGACTGCTTTGGGGCTCTCCCCATGCCGATGGTCCCTGTCATTATTTGATTTATAGCCTTGAGAGAAAAATAGCTCCCAGGGCTTGATCTGACACCCATTCCCCAGTCTCTATTGAGGTTTTACCATTCCTTTTTTTGCTTTTCCCACTATTAACCACACATGTAAAGTCCCTCCTTCCCCCCTGCCCCCCAGTTTTACCGTTGGCTCCAGGGCAGGGACAGTGTGTGGTTTGGGGTTCACGGTCCTGCACACAGTAAGCCCCCAGCCCTGGGGCTGAATCTGCAATTAGCCCGGAAAGTTTCCTTTTCACTGCAGGTGGAAATGACACTTCCTAAAGCCACTGAGTTGCTAATTAACGCAAAACCATGGCGTTACATGAAGCAAAGCTTCCCCTTCCAACCCTGTCAATGGAGAACAGCTCACCAAAGTCTCCAGGCGTTTCAGAAAAGGTTTGGGGTCATTTGGGTTAGGCCGGCTTAAAAACTACCTTCCTGAGGAGGCGGATGAAAGGTGTCAAGTGAGGCGTCCCTCTTCCCACTCCTATCTCCATCAAGAGGGGGCTGGATGGCAGGCAACAGCAGGGAGGGAAAACCTGCCAACAAGCCCTGGCCTTTCAGAAAAAAACTCAGGAGTAGCCAAGAGGTTGCATTACATTTTTATTTTTCAATCCTGGCCATCACACAAGGCCCTCGTCACCAGGCTGGAGATGTGCTAGATCACAGCCTGATCCTCATGTGCCTATCACAGGGAGACACTGCTATTACTCACAGCCACCCCCCTGCTGCTGTCTCCTTGCTCGCAGAAAAGCAGTGCAGCAAAAAAATTAAAAAAAAAAAATTTTTTTTCATTAAAAAAAAAGAAGGTGGGAAGAGGGAAGGCGAGGCGATGAGCAGGGGAGATGGATTGCGCTGTGGCACTGAGATGAGTGTGGAGAACCTATACATTAATCATCGGGAGAGGGGAGGAAGGGGGGAAAAATCCTACAGCTCAATCAGGAGGAAGTGTGTTTGCTGTTGTGAAACATTCCTGCTGCTGGGTGGGGAATCCCCAGTGCCCAGGCTCCGGGGTTCAGACTGGGAGCGCTCGACCCCCTTCTCCCCTTGGCATCCAGTGCCCTCTCTGCTTTGCACCCACGTACAAATCTTCAGTTAACTCTGTCCCCCCGCGCAGGATCTGCCCTGTGAGGGAAAAGAGGATGTTGTAAATAATAACCTGAGCATGGCTGCTGCCATCTGAGCAGAGGGAAGTGCCCGTGTGAGTACTGGTGAAGCCTGTCCCCTCGGGGCACCCTCGCCTGTCCCTCAGCTTACGTCGGGACACCGAGGGATGCTGCAGGCATGGTGCTGCTGTCGCTGTGGCTGGCAGGGGGAACGCCGTGGGTATTTTCAAGGTAACTAGTCAAAGGAGCTACTCAGCTGGGCCCGTGGTTCCCACGGGTGTCTGTGTGTCCCCTGTCTGTCCCACACACATCTTGGTTCTTTGCAGCACTTATGACTCTGCTTGGAAGAAGGAGGAGGGTTGCTGTGCAATACAGCTGCTCACGGAGTCTTCTTCAAAACAAAATTGAATACTACTACTGCTACTACTATAAAATACAGCAAAAGAAGACAAAGCTCTGCCTCAAGGCTCCTGTTAGCACCAGTGCGTGGTAGTGCTGGGCAGGAGGGATGTGCACGCTGACGGGCTGTGAAGGTAAAGGTGCTCACACACAGGATCTCCTGGTGTCATTAGTTACAGCTGGGCAAATTTATATGTGGAGGGAATTTTGAAAAAAAAAAAAAAAAAGGACTTTAAGTTCTTTTATCTTCTTTTTTTGTTTTTTTTTTTTTTAATTTTTTGAGACAAGGAGGCAGCTTGGCCAGTGGTTAATAAAAGCATTTAATCTTCTCAATGCATCCTCCACCCCCACCCAGGGAATGTTTTGACAGTAGTATAATGTTGCTTATAGAGTTTTGGTTGGTCTTTTTTTTTTTTTTGTTACATAAACCTGCTTAATGTGTCCGTTAACTCAGATTTTGGTTAAAAAAACCTGCTCTCTCTTTAAAAAGATGTGGGGAAGAAAAGGTCTTGGTAATGCAAATGTTTGAGTCTGGAGAAGAGAGAAAGTTCAGTTACTTCATTTATTGAAAAAAATCATAATCCCTGTGTGCTTCAGTTTGATCTGAACCAAATTCTATTGCAAAATCTGGCATCAGCCTTTGACTTGGGAGAAAAAACCCCACCCCAAGAGCCTATAAGAATACCTGTAATAGTGATTATTATTTTTTTTTAAATTTGTTACAAAAGTCCATAGATTTAGGGGCAGGCAGCTGTTTCCATCAGCTTAGTAAAACTACTCACATGGTCAAAGTTAAACACTCAACTAAATCATTTGAGGAACAAGACTTTCTGCAGGCAGATAAGAGCCTAATAACGTGATGATGAGAGTCTAGACTTTCACAGATAGCAGAAACTAATATTTGTGATGCAACAGTCTTGCATTATTCAGTAGTTAAAGATAATTCTAAGAAACTGAACAGCTTGAGAATTAGCAAAACTAGTAATAAAATATTCTTAGCTGACTCCGGGGGGAAGTAAATTGCCATGTACAGGATTTGCATTCATCTTAATGTTTATTAAAAATGAGACAGAGCTGCTTGCCGCACGCTCGGGTGGGAGAGCTCCACGTCTTGCTGGAACCGCGCGTCCTTCCCGGCCCTGGCTCAGCCCCAGGCGCCGGCGGGACCTGCTGAGGCCTCGCTAACTCATGGCAAACGGGGGTTGATGTGGGGGCGAGGGTGATGGAAACCCACCCCTCTGCACGGGCCCTGCAAAAGTCCCCAGGACAAGGTGAGGCTTTGCTGCCAGCGCTAATTGCTAATTGCCTGCCAGGGAATCGCTGCTTGGCCTCGCCGCAGGGTGTTCGTGCCCCCTCCCAGGGCAACATCAAGGGGGGAGCAGCTTAAGAAAAGCAAGAAGCTGATGGGCCTAAAGGAGGTGCGTGCAGAGCGGCAGTGCTGTACTCAGCAATGCCAGCGTGAAGGGGTTTGCGCACTCTTTGCTACGGCTCCAATCATGGCTTTGCTCCTGCGCGTGCAGGGAAGGTGGAAAAATACAACCGGGAGCAGCAAGCTCAGGCTTCCTCCACTGGGCATCAGCTGGCCCAAGGTGCTCAGTCATTCCCTAGGCTTTTTTGGAACCGATTCTGTTCCCTGGCAGTAAAAGGGCTGGCTGCTCTTCGGTGTGCTGCAGCTCACGGGCACGGGGTGCGGGGCAGCGGGTAGGAGAAGGGGCTGGATGGGCTGACGCAGCAGCCGCGGGGGTTAGCACCATGCTAGCAAGTAAAGACCCCAGAACGCGCCTGAATCGTGCTAAAGCACAAAAATCTTGTGTTGCAGGAGCGAAATCACCACCTGACTGATTTGGACCAACAGTTTAGTGCGGCAAAAAACGTGTTCGCATTGGAGTGCCAGAGGAACCTGCTCTGCTGCCTCCTTGCTGCCCGGAACAGCTACATGGGCTCAGGGGGAGCCATGCTTCTTGCTTTAATGAATGCAAATTTCCCACTGCCACACGAGGGCAGAAGCACCCGGGATCTCCAAAAACCCCACCGATGTCTGCGTACGCGGACCCACAGCTGCAACCGGGTCTCCGTTTACTGGCTCACTGCAAGGGTAAGGCTGCCACCAGCAGCGAATGAGCTGGGGTGTGCATGTGGGGAAGGAAAAGGAAATAAAAAAATAAAAAAAATAATAATAAAAAAAGCAAGTGAGACTATTCAAAAGGGGGACTTTATTTTTATTACACTGGAGCCAGGCGTCAGTGCGCCAGTTCAGCTTTGATACACAATAAATCAGCAAAGCTGTCACTCAGTTTGGAAACCAAGATTGCAGTGGCACTAAAAACACATTGAAAACATTTACTTTCTTCCCTTTTTTTTTTTTTTTTTTTTCTCTTTTGTTTTTGGTACAAAAATGGTACAAACAACAATACAAAATATTTGTGCTGTTGACAGTTACAAAAAAAGGTTTTTGAACTGGGTTAACGGACGCAAACTGCTTTTGCGCTTCAGCGTGAATACAGCAGAACAGCAGAAGTCTTCCTTGAGAACAACCACAGTCATGCGGGCTGCTACACAGCTTCTCCATCGTAAAAGGAAACATGCAAAATCATAATTAAAATTAAAAAAAAAAAAAAAAGAAAGAGAAAGTGCTCCAATTATACATCTATATGTTGTTATTTTTTCCCCTATTTGATCTGTAGCTTCAAGCACTAACTACATTATGTACACATTGTGTGAGCAGTTGTATATGGGGTGGGTGTGTACTGGAAAGAACTTTTCCCCATGAAACTGAGTTAACTTTGCGTGGGAGACACCTACGTTGTCTAGCTGCTGTTTTAAACATACGCATTCATCATTATACAGCATTCCCCCCCCACCCCCCCTGAAAATTTTTTTTCACACTTACAATGAAGAGCTCCAAAAGACATCACAAATAAAAGTCCCATATTTTACTTTTAATATGGTTTTTTGAGACTAAACAAAGTTGCAATCTTGGCATATTGTGTTGTACAGACCCTGCACTGACCATTACCATTCTCCAATGCCCGAACATCTACCCCATGCGAAGCTGTTGCAGGCGATACAGCCCTCTCCTAAGTCCCATTTACTCCTGGAGGCTGGATTCTGACCCAGCTATCCCTAAAAACCCCTTGAAAGAGGCCCAAAGTGGCTCAGCCACAGGGAAGCAAACTCCCCACCAACGCCTTACAACCGCCAACGGCATCGCCTGGTCCAACAAAAAATAAAATAAAATAAAATAAAAAAATGCAAAACCAGAAGCAAAACTATGACTAGCACATAGGACACCTAGAACAGACCTGCCTATTTACTGTCATTAATTACCTGCTGAGTCTCCTCATTGCCTTGCAAAACATTTCTGTGACTGATGCTTCTCCCTGTTTACAGGCTACGTAATAAATAGACTGATGGGGGCTGCGGGGCCCCGCTCTGCCGGAGGCGGCCGTGATGCTGGACCCACACGGTCCCTGGCTTGGGCATGTGCAATCTTCATGCCTAGGAAGTAGGGAGGCCAGAGGAGGGGTCTGGCATGCCCTGACACCCTGGGACCTCGCTGTCCCCGTCCCTTAGACAGCACGGAGAGCTGCAGTGGTGTCCCCTGGCAGTGCTAAGGGGCACTGGGTAACACTGGTATTTCAGCCACCGGCTCCCCTCCACCTGCCTGAAAGCAGCTCCTTCCCCACCACCTTGAACCTGTGGGCACCACTTCTTTATTTAGTTTAATGCTTTAGTTTAGATTAGTCAGAGAACAAGGATTCTGGCCACTTCTGTGGCCTGCAAGAAAAAACAGCAACTGTATGTTCAGCCAAAGTTGCTGTTTCCCCACCCCGGCTCCATGCAAGCCACTGTCACCTCCAGCTGCGAATGGGAAGGCCATGTCACATCCATGAGGATCAGAGCGGGGGGACAGTGATGGCACAGTCACTTTTTCAATGGGACACCTTGGATTAATGTAAGTTTTCTTAGTTGGGTCACAAATCATAAGTAATATCAACAAGTAAAAAGATTTGCAAAAAGCGATCTATTTTCATTGCTCAATGTGCTCCTCGCTTACCTTCTTCTGGTCCCACTGCGAGGAAAGGGGCCTGACACTGCTGCTTCTTGTGGGGCTGTAAAGCTCAGTGTTGGAGGATGAGGAGGAAGAGTGAGAGGAAGAGGAAAAGGAAGAGGAGGAAGAAGAGAAGGAGCAGGTCCCACAGAGGGAGACTGAGCAGAATTGGGTCAAAAGACAATAAACTAGTTGGTTTGATTTATAGGCTTGTGGGGTTGGAATGGCTGGATTGCAAATTCTGCAGAAAAAATATCTGCTGATTTAAAAAAAAAAAAAAAAAAAGCTGCCAATGGAAATAGGTTGGTTTATTTTTAATCACTCAAACAGTTTTGTTTGACTTAGGTTGCATAAATGTTCTTAAAAACTTGAAATGTTTAGACAGGCTGAAGTCTGACAGCATCTTCTTCACGGCCAAGCGGCTCCTTTCACCGCATGGCGCATCCCCCCGGGTGACAGCGGGGCGATGCACGCTGCCGACCAGCCCCGCGGCAGCCGTCCCACACGCTGCCGTCCCTTTCCCTACCTGAAACCCACCCCCCCTGGCCAAAGCTGCAGCAGACACCAAGCACCAAGCGCTTTGGAGCAGGGATTTAGCTCCTGCTCCCAGGGTAAGAGGAGCCCGGAAGGTTGCTTACAGCAGAGACCCAGGCGGCACGAGCTGGGATCTGCACGAGCATCCCAGGGGCCGTGCGGGGCCGGCAGGCAGCAGCAGCAGCAACCCAAGGGATGGAGAACCATCGGCACTGCCCCGGCCCTCGAGCCGTGTCCTTCTCCTGAGTCGGTGGTGAGGTGACGGTGACAGACACAAAACACTGACGGGCAGTCATCAGCGAGAAACACTAACTGCGTTTTTATTATTCACTACTTCTGCCGTGACCGGGCAGCTTCTGCGGAGGTGCAAAGCGCGGATGGTGAAGTACTCCAGCCTGTGGCTTTTCCGAAAGAAAAGGGGAAGAATCAAGAGTGCCCGTGGGTAAGGAGCAGAGGCCACGCAGCCCACCCGTGCCAGGCGGCTGGAGGACAGGGGCTGCGAGGTTTGCCGTGGGTGGCCAGGAGGAGGTGGACGGAACGTGGCAGAAGCAAATGTAAGACTTTCATGAGACGACCGAATTCCCAACTACGGAACAGGAGCTTGGGAAGGCGTCAGGTGCCGGCAGCGTGCCAGGCGCTGCGCTCCGTCCCGGCCGAGGCACGTGCTGCCAGCCCGTGCCCCTGGCACAGCGTCCTCACCTTGCTGCTGCCATCGGAGCCGTCCCTCTCCCGGGGTCCGAGCCATCGCCTCCTGGTTTCCTCAAGAAACTTGGGTGAGCGTGTGTTGGCCCTCCGAGCCGTGAAAGGACAAACTGACTCATCGACTGACCAACTGACTGACTGACCGAGACAAAAAAGAAAGATTGCATCCTTGGTAGTTAATAACATACCAGTAATGTTGGAGTCCCCTTGGGCTGATTTTTACCACATTCCACTCCATACAAGACACATTTCAAATGCTCATTAATTTACAGAAATTGCATTTTATAGAAAATATGATACAATGAAATATAAAATGCACTAGGAGCATTTCAAAAATCTATAGAGACGATCTTGCAGCCTAGTATACCCTCTGAAACGATGTCCACTCATCACCGCAAGCTCTCGTCCTCTCATTCTCCCGTTCTCGCGTGCACGCGCTCGCTCCCCCCGCCCCCCCTTAACTCTTAGCATTCAACTTGAGAATTAACAGAGATATCAAAAAAAGCGTGATTATCCCCTGGATAATCACCTCCCAATACTGTGCACATTCTTGGATTTAAATGAAAATATATCTAAGCACTTTTACAAGTTTTAGCGAACCCACTGCAAAATCGTCTGCAGAATATAAAACACAGGTAATCCAAGATTTCATAGCACATTAATTAAGTGGCTCATAATCCATTAAATGTGGTTTGTATTACACATCCATGCAGTCTAAATCATTTTACAAACATTAGACATAAACCCACTAGTCCAAATCAGTAAAGGAAAATGTAATAAAAAAAGCTAATAACTATTTGTTATTGGTTAAACTGACCCTACATATAAACTAGGTAGTATGCTACCATTTATAATACTGATGTTGAATTACGCCTGGATGCTGCAAAACCTCTTGCTTACTTGGCAATGCTTGAGCATATTAACCACAAGATACTTAATAGGCCCTCGTTGCATTTCTTCTCCAAAAAAAAACATTTACTACAGATAGCAGCGTCTACCCATCAAATAGAAAGGACACACATTAGCTGAGTTACACGATGTTGTTGAGCTTTGGCTACTAATGCTCCATGGCATTAATACTGTACTAGACTAACTTCATACTTACGGATGGCAAAAGTGCTGATAAACTCGTCCTGCCCTTAGCACTGCCTCGGCCTCGAGCGGAGCCGCTACCCAGCCCCTGCCTCATGCGAGGAAAGCAGCATCAGCTGTGGTGCTCGCAGGCATCCTCGGAGATGCGGGGCACCACCACCCAACCCAGCTGGTATTTACATCACTCAAGAGGTCGTGGGAGCCAAAACACGCCGATAGCATAAAAACAAACAAATGGGCCTTTGGTCATTTCACGATTTACTTTGTAGGGTTTAGGCAAGGGCTGTCGGAGATTTCTGTTGCAATAACCAAAGGCTTTGTCAATGCTATAGTTCTATGCAGCTACATTGAGTGTGACCAGGTGACCGCAGAGCCCCCAGTCGGTATTTTGCATCTGATAACACTGAATTATATACAACATGATGACTAGTTCACCACCTGCTGAGGCTTAAAGATGGCTGTTAAGATTTTTCACTCAAAACATCTTCCCCCCCCTCCCAACCTCCCGTTCTCTTCCACCCCATAATGAGTCACCCCCTTAAAAAAAAAAAAAAAAAAAAAAAAAAAAAAAAAAAAAGGCAAAAAAGAAACAATCTCCACAGTTCCTTTTTGTTAACTCCTTCCCAGCTAGTACTGGCTTAGGGTCACAGGGAGTGCTGCCCAGGATGGTTGTATGTTTGTTTTCATCACTCCTGAGATTGAAGGGAATCTGATACATGCACCAAAAGGCACTTTCAAATATATATATATATATATTTTAAAAACAGTGCTTCTGTTCTAAGAAATTCAAGTTAAGACAGAGTGCCTTTCACTCTCTTTAGTCATAAAGCAGATAAACGAGCAATATCCCAGCTGACATTAAAAAAACAAACCAAAACAACAAAAAAAAACCTGCAGCAGAGACAAGTGTTCATGCGAGACAGCTCAATATTCTAAAAAAAAAAAAATTGGAAAGGAAAAAAAAAAAAGAAAAAAAAAAGAAACCTCCTATATCACCACTAAAAATAACAATACAGTCAGCAGGGGATATTAATTAAAAAAGCTGCCACATCTGTACAGTTCTTGCTTCTGCATCGGCTCTTTTTGTTAATGTTGTCGTCGTCTGTGGGTTTGTGTTTTTTTTTTTTTCCTTCTTCTTCTTTTTTTTTTTTTTTTTTTTTTTTTTTTTTTAAATAATGTGAGGTCAGTTTAATCTTCCTCGCCTCCCCCGTACATGTCCGCCAGTTTCTTGAACCTGGGCCCCCAGTCGTTAAGGTAGTCGTAGTCCTGGTCCCCGGAGCTGGAGGAGTTGAGGGAACTGACGGAGCCGGCAGTGGAGCCGCTGCCCTCGTAGTCGAAAACCAGCAGGGAATCGTACGGGGGGGCCGTGGGGTCGTTGTCGGCCGCACGCAGGCCCTGGGAGGGGGCAAACATATGGTGTTAATACCCACCACGGGGTTTGATGGTGCTAAGGAAGGGCGTTCGGGTAAGGGTCCGGGCTGGTGGGAAGTTTGGGATCCCTGCAGCAAAGCTAAAGGAGGATGGTGGAAAGCTAAATGAGGATGGTGAGAAAATGAGGGTCCTAGGGCTTCCCTGTGCCTGATGCCCCCCGGGGTGGAGCCTCCCAGCTGCCCCCAGCAGAAAATCCATTAACTCCCAGTGCCTCTGTGAAAGAGCCGGATGGATGGGAGGGGAGTTGTTTCCAAGGATCCAGCTCTGGAGCTGGAAAGCTTTCAGTTCTGGACAGCCTGTCCTTTCTGGGGCTGCCCGTTAAGATTTCCAGCTTGGCCAGTGAAGGAACAAACAGCACCCTTCCTCTCCTACCAATAACCAATATTTTAATTTTGATGATTTTGATTCCTTTAGGGGAAAAAAAAAAAATCACTCCTAGCAAAATTCTGCAATTAGGAGAAAGCTGGGGTGTGAAATCCTGGGCGGAGGGTTGGGAAGCATCGCTGTTCCTGTGCGCTGTGGGCAGCAGTGTAGGCAGGCCATGGAAATGGCCTTGGGGTATGGAGAAAAAGAATTGCTTTGCTGCAGCCCAGCATCAGGAAAAGCCTAGTGGAATAGACCTGCAATAAAGCAAAATATTCTGTATTCACACCTTCAGAAGCCCCAGTCTCAGCGTGGGGAGATGGAGCAGGTTTTACTGCAGCGAACAGCAGCCGGAGAGTGTGCAAGAGCGAGTCTTCACATGCATGGATGTGTGTAAATGTGTGCGTGAAGGATGGGCAGGAACAAAGGAAGGAGGAACTCTAACGATGAAAATGAGAAAAAGCACAGCAGGAAATGGATATAATAATAGAATTAAATCGCTATAATATTTATTTTTCTGATTTAGGAGATGGATTGCATGTTTTCTCTCAGAGGAAATAATACATTGATTGGTTTGTAACCACTCAATCACTCAAAACTAAAACTGAGATAAGAAATACTAAATGGATAGATATTTGTACAAGCAGATAAAGGAGCAGTAATCTAACATAAAATAAAGAAACCCTCTCTGATCTGAGATGAATCTCTCTGTTCTGCAAACTCTTTGAGGCTTTAGACCAAATAGAGCTTACTAGGAAGGCACAGACTGGTGAAATAATTACAAGTCCAGGAGTCATAAGTAGTTCCTCTGGCTTTCGGCGACCCCCGCAGCGGCCTCGCCACCGCCTCCCCACCAGGACAACGCTCCTTTGTCCACGTCCAGACAATGTTTTTACTGACACTGACTGCAATATTCATTGTAATCCAAGGGAGAGCGGGATCAGGTTATGCTGCCTGGATGCTGAAAAGCACGTTTTTTTGTGATATCCGTGTCAGAAATCCCAGGATTTTGTTTGCACTTTGGCTTTTTACAGGCTTGGTGCCTTTATTAGGCCAAGTCCTGTGTCCTTCGCTCACGCCAATTGTTCCCCTGGCTTTGATCAGACTCCTCATGTGAGTAATAGCGTCACTTGGTCCATGCAGCAAACGTTGCATAGCTGATGTCAGCTGGCTGCTCAAGCTTTTAAGACGTGACACAGGACAACCTACCAAACATACCTCATTAATAAAGTCACCAATATCCCCTGGATGTGGGATTACTGGTCTTATAGGATACTGCGGTTCAGCACCAATAGGTCTTTCATCCACCCTTCTGACTCCAGGTGTCTTGTTCAGCACGTGATCCATGGTCTCCGGCTGCTGGAGCTGGCTTAAATCGTAATCCTGTGACAAATGGAAAGGCACAGAGTGAAACCAAGAGCTTTTCGTTCAGATCATCTACTCACCCAATGTACAAACAAGTCAAGGGGTCTAATCCTATTTCAGCTGAAGTTCAATGGCAAATCTTATCCCCGGGTATGTTGCACCACTAACTATCTAAATTACAGACGAACCTGACCTCTGAGTAGCTCATAAAATCGACCCCCTAAGAGGTCTTAAAACATAGTTAAATCAAATATTTAAACACTTTCAGAATATTTTACGCAGTGTCTAAATATTTGGGATAAAAAAATTGGCTTTTGTTTGTGTGTGCATAGGTACGTGCATAACTTTTTGATGAAATACATAATATAATGTAACGACACAGTGTTGGTAGACATATTATTGCAATTACATTTGTACAGAAGTAAAAGCATTAAAATGTGTATTGCATTTATGCATGTAGTCCTTTCAAAGTAATTATATTCTTTCTGCTTGTGAAAAATCCCAACAGAGTAGGTTTCTACCAAGGAATGAGAACCAGGTAATATTTCATTAAAAATGTATTCATGTAGGTAATGGTGTTTTGCTGCTCTTCCTTTGCTGTTATTTTTAACGAATCCTTTCTAAAATATTTAAGCCTACAGTGTAGTTTCCTGAAACCAGATACTTCAGCTAGTTCGAATGCTTATAACAGTACTTCGTTCTACTGGTAAAACTATTCTTGTGCTCAGACAGGGATGATTGAATCTCCAGAAGCAATATTTATAAATAACTTCTCGGTGACAAGAAAAAAGAAATGCTAATTGCAAGGATTTTTCCATGGACTAAGAACTTCTCGAGGTTTGGGCAGAGTCCCTGCCTCGGCCTCCTGCGGTGGCTCTCGCCAGGCTCACCCACGTGCCATGGGATGCGACCGGGACCTTCACGGCAGGACGTGCCGTGGTGGTTTCACCTACTCGTTCCGCACCAGCCCCAACCATTGACCTTAGGAGTCACTGACACCAACCACGAACACAGCAGCCTCTGCACAGACCCATGAACCATGCAGTCCATTTAAGCAAGCAAGAATAAAGCCGTTACACGATGCAGAGTCACATATGTGTTAACTTCATATTTGAGAGTGTCATGGGCTCTTGTGTTAGGTAGGAATAAAAGAACAGTGACTTAAACTTGAGCCACCAAATTTTACTATTTTAGCTGACGAAATACATCTGCACCAGGGGGAAAGCACACCCCAGGAGTGCAGGCCAAAGGAAATTTTCATGAAACATCAGAGTCGGTGTCTGTAAGAAGAAGCCAGCGCAGAAATGCTGACACATTCGGGCGGACTGTGGCTTAGGGCTCTGTCACCAAGCAAAGCTTTGCCACTGTATGCTTTGCAGTGAAAAAGAAAATCCCCAAATGTATTTAGACGTTTCTCAGAAACCACATCCAGATATTAAAAGAAATTAAAAGCACATTAGAGGCGATTAAGTAAACGCAGAAAAAGCCCACAGAAGCTCTAGGCTCAAGCAAGCCATGACAAGTGCCTGCAGTCACTGGCCTGGAGAGAGTGTGGTAGCTGCTAGCTGGTTTTACTATGATCTCTGATGGGGAATGGTAAAATATATAATTTTAATGATCAAAATTGCAAAAATACTGTTTGAACATGAGTATCAGATTTATAGTCCCCTCCCCAGAAAGCTGGCCTATGGGGTAGCAAAATCCATGTTGCGCTGGCCTCCCTGCAAGGTCCTGTTTGCACAGGAGAGGGTCCCAGTGACATGCTGGATCTAAGCTGGCTCTCCTCGATGTCCATGCCACACTGGGGAAGCCAATAAAGCTGCCTGGGTACAAGCAAGGGCGAGTGCAACCCCTTGCAAGTGAAAATAATGTGGTTTCTGCCTTTTTGAGAGTATAGACTGCACAGTTGCTCCTTGGCTACGACCTGCGGGCTCTTCTCACCTGGTCTTCCTCTCCACCTCCTTCTTCGTCATACTTCAGAATATTGTCCCTGACGTCGTCCTCGGGGTCGATCAGGAGCTGCTTGGTATGGCGCTCCTTCTCCCGGCGTTTCATCCACACCACGAAGAGCAGAACCATGGCTGTAATGGAGAAGCAGCGGGGTGAGCCTGGATCTCACACGGCGCGGGGCTGAGCTGTGTGTGTCAGCGTGTGGTGGTGTGTCCTAACGCCTCACCTGCCCTCTTCCCTTATGGAAGTATTGCCTGCTAGTAAGAGGAATAAAATTTTATACTATTGCATGTTCTAATTTATAAAGGACAGATCAATGACAGCTGTAAATACTGTGACAGGCCTCCACTACAAACATTTCTTTAAGATCCATCATGAATGCTGATTGAGCTGATGTTTATCAGAAGTCAAACACACAATCAAAGGAAAGGCAAACAGAAAGCGTGAAAACTCATGTTTTCCAAAAATATTTGATCTAAATCCGGAACTTTCAGGTTTAGATTTCTGCCTTTTTTTTTTTTTTTTTTTAATTCAGGGGCATAACATAAATGTGGAGGAAAGAGCTGCAGAGGTGCTGAGAAGGCAACAGGTACAGCTGAGCAGCACCTGTGGATGAGTGGCTCTTCCACCAGCATGGCACAGCGATGCCCGTTCAGGACACGAGCTTTAGCCATGGCAGTCAGTTCACTGTTGTCTGCACTACTCCATGCAAAACTGTTTTGGGGAGGGTGGGTAATACTAGGTCACATAATCCAATTTGGGCTCACTTATACTTTTTTTTGGTGAGGGATGGAGGCTTTCTAGACTTCCAAGATCACGTTAGCCAGCCCATTAGCATGTGCATTTGGCCATCCACTTGCAAAGCAGATCTAAGATAATTTGAAATCCTTTCAGGGAGCAGGGCTTGCTTTGCAGAACCAAGGAGAGAAAATCTGGTAGCACACAGGCAACCTCCTCAGGCATCAGCATTTACGTGCCAAGACCTGGCTAATCTCATCTCAGAGAGAGATGAACAGTTCTTAAATCATGAGAAGTTTTCCTCCACTTAAACAACTTTATCCAGAGGGAACGCTGGCTCCGTGCTCTGCAACCTCGTCCTTCGAAGGGCCACCCATGTCCCAGAGGCTTTGCACACCCTGTGACTTAATGCATGGAGGCTGTTCTGGGAACTTAAGTCTCCACGAACATAAAGCAACCAGATCATGCCTTCTTCAAGAACCTGTTAATATTTTAGTTTTCATTCTCATACTCAGCAGCTGCAAATAATGTAATAAAAATAGAAATTAAGCCTGGGCAGCTGATGCAGTTATATCTCCCTGTGTCTGCTTTCCCTCCATTCTCCACACAAGCCACACACGATGCTGTGATGGTGACAATCTGCAGAAGGGAGAGATGGATGAACAGTGGAGGTGGGAACATGTGGCTGTGGGAATGTGTTCATTTCCCATAGGTCAACCCTTGACTGTGCCAAAACAATTCAGCCAACACAAGTAAACCCAGGCAGGACATAAGATCCCAAACTCTCATTGTGTTTTTTACCTGCATAAGGAGAAGGAACAACTGCTGTTTCCCACCATCTCATAATTTGTGGGGGTTTCTTTCCCTTTGCCCCTTCACAGACACATGCCATCACTTCACTGAGGGCAAGGATGGAGAAGAGACCAGACCCTGGGGACATTGGGCGGGCAGCCCGCCCACAGCCCCACTGCCTGGGGAGGTGGTTCGGAGGATCTGCGTTTTTCCTCCCAGCACCAAAGTGTTTATACCCAACAGGAATTCAGTGAAGTGAGCAGAAGTGGACCGGACAGCTAATTACTGCCATTGTGTGCCAATTGGCTGCCATCCCTGCCTGACAGCTAACAGAATTGTTTTCAGATAGTTCAGCATTTCTTTAATGCTTATCCTATATCTATTCAAGAGAGAAAAAAAGAAAAGGAAAGAAAATGTAACTCTTATCTGCAATATAAAACCTCAGCTATTTAGCAGACTATTGAAGTCCTTTTCTCGTTGTTCCTTTTCAAATCTCACAACAAGATACCTGCCTAGTCCACAAAGACAATATTATAATGGTTACCAGGGTTTATCTTTTTCTTTACCTTTTTTTTTTTTTTTAAATGCTACTTTTTCATGCACTTGTGGAAAAAACTGTGCCATTAACGCCTTTACAGCTACCTTGAAAAAAAAAAGACCTTCAAAGTGTCAATAGCGGATGTAGTGCACTCTCCTTCCTTTTATTCACTCTGCAGAATGGGAAGTGCTATTACTGCTGTTAGACCCATTTTCACTCTGCATGTAGTTTTCCTTGAAATCTATTGTCTTCGCTCTTCACAATTTTTTATTGCATTGCTCTTCTAAATGTGTTATTTGTGCAGCTAATACATTAGGTATCAGGAAGAAGAAAAAACCATTTGAGCAAAGGTAAAGGCAGAAACTTCCTTCACCTGAGCAACCTCAAATCTGTCCCCTTGCTGCTTCTTCCTTTCAAAGACATTAAACTTTGCCCTGCTGACTCTAAAATGGACAAATACCACAAAAAATCTCACATCTTCCTTTTTCCAGGGTATTGCTCAGAGGTCAGGATATAAAACAGATAGAATGGAGGCAAAACACTGGAAGGATGTAACTGGAAAACTGCTCATCGCAAATTACATTTTTCATCACTGATACAGTGCTTTGCAGATCTTGAAGATAAAAAAAAGTCAATTAGAATTACAATGAATGTAAAAATAAGCTTTTGTAATAAAAACCATAATTTAAAATGGGATAATGTATCTGAAAATGAAAAGAGGAATCTCTTAAATCAAATGTCCTTCAGCTGAAGTTAATTTCAGTCAATTGGATTTTCAGCTGTTTAAATCGTATTTTAGCACTGGATTTATACAAGAGCTGAAAAAAAAAGCCCCATGTTTAATCACCTCTGTGGCTTCCAGTGCAAACTTTCAGCTGGATGAGGAGCAGGGACTGCACAGCCACAAACACCCAGTTTCTTGCTCGCCCTCCAGACTGATAGGGTAAATCAATTATATAACAATATATTCCCATTGCTGGCCTAGGAGGGTGGATGTTTGCCCAGAGATGACCCATTCTCTTAATGTACCATATCATATCCACATTAGGTGACATTTGTAGCATACGTCGCTCTGTCTGCTCTCTGTTTAAACACATTGGGGGTAAATATTAAATGTGATTTAGCACCATAACTCCCATTAGCTTTAATGGGAGTCCCATGGTTTCATCTTGTGTTTCTTGATGAATATTTACCTCATTGTTCATTTCAGCACTTGTTTTTATCTATTCCTACTGTGCTAACTCCTGCTTGAAGTTATAATGATATCATTTTTATTTTTAAGTGTGTGCACACATGGTTATTGGTAATACTCATGGAAGCCTGGGACTAGTTGCTGGGCAAAAGGGATGGCTTTGGCTCAAGCAAAGGGATGGCCAGCACTTCTCTGCAATGCACCCCCAGCCCTCCAGTGCTCCTGACAAACTGGGGATCCTTCCTCTAAAAACAATCACAATCCAGCACAATTCTCCAATCTGTTGGCATTTTACAAACAATGGGAATAACTACCATCCTTCTTTTCCTTTGAACAGTCAAAAGCTATAGCTAGGTACTGGCTCTGCCAGGGACTAGCCAGACTTTCATAACCAGTGCATCTGGTACTGGGAACGAGTATATCCACAGCCAGGGACCTGAGAGGTATGAGGGAGTCTGCCACAGGAGTTTGGGTAAGTCCTTCAACTTTTTCCTGCAAAATGTGGAAAATCGTATTGCACTTGCTACCTACAAGACGTTGTCAGGTGTAAAGATATTTGTAAAGCTACTGGAAGTATTACAAAGAAAAGTCCGGAGGGTGCTCTAGCTCGTTCTGCTGACGCTGCAGCGAAAGAGGTTCCAGTGCAGGTGTGTGAACCAGCCCCCGCAAGCCTAAAGCTCGCGGCTCTGTCCTTTGCACGGCCCTTGAAAAACACCCCGTACAGAAATGGAACAACAGGGAACAGGATGGGGAACACGACGCCTCCCAGCAGCGCTACCCCCTGCGGTACTTACTCAGTAAAATGATGATGCAGATCAAGATAGCGATGATGGCACCGGTGCCCAGCCCCGCAGCAGCCACTGCCCCGATGGTGGTGCAGTCGCCGTTCTCGTCGCACGGGCACACCTTCACTTTGATGACGGATGTGTTGTACAAGGGGGGGTTTCCCGAGTCCGTCACGATGATCGGCACATCATACACACCTGCTTCCAGGTACATGATTCGTAAACTCAGCTGGGCGTAATCGCCTGGAGAGACCGAGACAGACAGACAGATGACAGACCCTCTGGCAGAGCCGTGCAGCCACATTTGTACAGACAGGGCTCCTCTGCCAGAGCAGTCTTCCGAGCCCTGAAGAAGAGGCTATCAACAACACACCCGGGCAGGACAGATTCAGACTTCTGCCCTAGCAGTTTGTTCAAAAATCAGCCCATGTTTTGCAAAACGCTATGTGTTTTCACTGCTGCACTAACCTACCTCGATGCTGTTTGCAAATCCAGCTGTGCGGGTTTAAAATGGCATGAAATGCAAATACTAAAGCATGGGTGATGCTCCCTGGGTCTGGGCTGCCCCTGGCCACTGTGCAGGCTCTCTGCTCGTCCATCCTCACACCTTGGGATTTTTGGGAAGCCCATCGCCTGTCCATTACATGCTCAGCCAGGTAATCCCTCTTGTGTTCCCTCCCATTGTGATACAAGGGTTGTGGGACTGAGCCCCAAGCTGTGAGGCCACAAGCCGTTGCCCCTGGCAGAGGGTGCCAGACCTCAGCGAGAGGCACCAGTTTTGAAGTCAAAACCAGCCCATGGCTCCATGATATTTTCCATCCTCTGCTGAAACTACCAGTAAGAGGAACAATTAGGGCCATTTGTGGTTCATACTGCAATATAAAAATCCTTCACATACTGGTAATCTTCACACTTACCTAGCCCTCCTGGTTCCATGGTAAATTAAAAGGCTGCCTTTATGCAATTATGGTCAAAGAAATGAACATTGATCCTGATTGTGGCTTATGACAATTACACTGGAACATAAGGAAGACAGATAATAGCTTTTTTCCCCTTGGCCATTATGGATGATTTATACTCTGTTCACTACTGATAACTGTTCATAATTATGAACTGCATTAAAAAAAGCCAAGTGCCAAGGCTCTTAGAGTTATGCTGCAGGTCTGATACAAATCATTTCTGATTAACTATCTTGTCTATAATGTCAGCCATAATGTGCTTTAAAAAATAAAAATCAGATAAAAAAGTAGGAAAGTTTGGAAGTTTGAAACTGCCTCATTAGTGAATCAGAGTCCAAATGTCCTCAGGATTGCCTGCCCCATTTACCATTCAGCCGTGTTATGGTCCAGTTCTTCCTCACTGCAGATGGCACACTTGGCAGCTCGAAGACAAAGGGCCCAATGTTTGGATCGATGTCAGCATCCGCGGCTGTTATGTTGATGACATTCAGGTTTGGCTTTTCACAGATCTGTGCCTCCTTTGGCAGGAGCTCAGGAGCATTATCGTTGATGTCGATTAGGTAGATCTGCAGCGTACCAGTGCCGCTTGCGGGGGGTATACCTGAACGGGAGATGCAGAGCCGAACATGGACCAATGACCATCACTTGAGAAGCAGTGGGAAGGACAACACTGTGGACCAGCCCCCTCTCTGCCTTCCAATTTCAATAAACCAGGATTTTTACCCTCCCTCCTTGGACCTTATTAGGGACATATTGCACTTTCATGGTCCCCTGCTTTAAGAGGTATTATTAAAACTTTCCCAAGCCTCCTAATGTTGTTGTTTTTCACTCCTGCAGAACATGGAGGTTGAGTTCTGCAGATTTGTAGCCTACAGCAATGTCCTTAGTCAAACTCTAAAAATATAAGGAGGTGATGCCAAGCTGCTAGTGCAAATTTTTTGATGATGGCTGTTTTGAAGAGAAAAACCAGTAGAAAGATAGCTAACAAGAGGAAGAAGAAGGCTTGGAGGGAAAAAAGAGTAAGCAGTGCAATCTGTTGGTCAGCATTTATTATAGCACTTGCTAACCAATATTTAGATTTTAAGACTATTACACTACTTCAAAGAAAGCTGAACTCTCCAGCCCATCCCACATCCAGCCTTAGCTTACGTTGTGAAAGGTTCTTGCTCAAAGCCTATGGTATGAGGTAACCATCACCAGACATGTTGGCTGATGCTACTAACTCATGGCAGCACAAGTATGCCCCAATACACAGTTCATCCTCTCCACATTTGTCCCAACCAGGAAGGGTAATGCAGTACAGCAGTCTTGGTCTTCCAGCCCCTTACTGGTGAAGAGCCACATTTGTCTGACTAATGACCACTTACACAAAGTAATACCTACCCTGGCAAGAGAGAATAGCCTTCCCTGAAATGGTGCAATACTTTTAATTTCTGTCCCCACTCATACATATGGCAGCTCCGTGTTGGCCTGCCCACCACCTCCCTTCTCAAGCAGCATTGCTTCAGCAATTCTTTTTTAAGTTTTTATTTTCAGTCCTGGCTCTTCCTCCCAGTGCTGGATACAAAGCTACACGAACCACTTCCCCACCAGGCTTTCAAACATTGCTTCTACTTCCAGAGACTTTCCTTCCTACAATCCTTTCTCGTTTCCGCTCCATTTTTCAAGAAAGCCTTGAAAACGCTGAAGGAGCCCTGAAAATCCTTCTTTCATAGTTCCTACATAAGCTCTTCAATCATTGATCTCATCCTTTCATCTAGTAAGCACGGGGTAGGTCTCCCTCTAAAACAATGTCTTTGATCAGCCTTGAAAGTTTCTGGAGAGACAGACAGCCCATCAGGATACTGGGGCTGAATATGAAAACTGATTTTCAGGAACAAGAAAAGCGATTTCAGTTTTCACGTTGCCCAGAGTATCTTCTGGGCTGAATGCAAGGCCCACACTCTAACCTCTGAGATAGACAATGCAAACTAGCAGTTCTGAGAGGCACTAACTGCATGTGGCTGAAACAACCTGCAATTGTCACACATACAGACGCAGTTTTGTATGGCTATTGGGTATTGTTGGACTCTGGTTCCTACTATTTTTGGTTCCTTGTGTTCCTGAGTGCAGTTCTGGGGCAGTCTCAGGAGGAATGAAAAGAAAACAGTTTTTTAAATGTCCAAATACTACAAACCATGGAATATTTCAAATTATTTCAGCTCTCTCAGGTGGAGAAAGCAAGGATGTGGGTAGAGCAGGTACTGGTGTATTACAAAAGATCTTTGGACTTCAGGCTCAAGAGATGAGGACTAGCATAGCAGCACTGATTCCAGTGGAGAAGCTGTTCCACTCCTTGAAATTAAGACTGAAATACTAATGAGAGCATTTAAAAAGAAAGAGGAATATACAACTGCTACATCTACATATGCATTCAACTGTTGCATTCTCTATCACTGCCTTTTTCACAGTGACAATGCCAGCACTCCTGGAGCAAGGTACAAGCCCACTGGCTTTCATGTTCAGCTGCAAGAGTCACTTCCATCCTGCTTGAGCAAAGGTTTCTAAGGAACTTGGGTCAGTGTCCTGACAAATCATGGCAGAAATGAAGTAAACTGTGCCTGTGAATAACCGGCATCTTCTTGTCATTATTTGCTTGCAGAAAAGCAGGAACCTGCATGCAGGATCACTAACGCAGCCTGCTTTCCTACAGGATTGGGCCCCAAAGGTGAGCTCCCATGGGGTGTTCTGATACTGAGGAAAGGGCAGGACCCTGCTTCCTTCAGTTACAGTCTCTCTTTGCTACTCAGCTCCCTATTTTATGAAACTTGTTGGAACATGATATATTTGAGTTCTCAGCTTCGCTGTGAGATTGACTGAAATTGGCTGAAGGGTTCAAACACTGCCAGGCTCTACACTTGTGTAGACACAGTGTGATCCAAGAGCGTCTCTCTTCTGGGAAACTAGGCTAAAAATATGCTGTTGATTAGGATTCCTCCTTTTCCCCCCTTACACTGCAGTGAAGACCTTTCTTAAAGTGAGTATCTGTACTACAGCCCAGGGAGAGAAAGAAATAATGTCCAAGGAGTACTTGGCTAAACTTCTTTATCATATGCTGAAAACAGCAAAAAGAACTTCAAGGAAACAAGATGCTGCTGCTTCTTCAAGAAAGAAAGAAAAATCTCCACCAAACCCCCTGACCCAAAGCCTTTCTTTGATGAGTGCATGATGCCAGAGAACCTGGAACTTGGGAGAAGTGTGGAAAGAGTCTATTAGTCTAGATGAAACTTTAGCTGTTATCCTAAGAACTCTAGACAGAATTTTAAATAAGGTGTTGCTTTATGTGCATTTTAATGGCTGCAATGTACCTGTGATAGATTAATTTTTCAGAATAAAGAGATTTATCTAGGTCCTCACTTTCTGAGCTGCTGAATGATGGATGTGGAGGTGCTGATGCACTGCAACATCAGCACCAAAGCCAAGGAAGGGGGTTAACTCCAAATCACGTTGTACTAAGTGCTTGGAATTTGCAAGGTCAGATAGTGAGGATTAGTTTGATGGGTTCAAGCTCTACCACTGCTTTTGTGAATAGCCTCAGCCAACTCATTTGACCTGTTTTGCCCTTTGGCTCTTGCAGATGAATGCTGCTAGATCTCCATGAGACTATTTTGGATTTCACTGTGCTGGCTGCTTTCACAGAGGGGAAGCTTAGAATGGGGCTGTGGGACCACACCAGTTCTACCACTGATGACACAAAGGGGCAAAATTTGCTTCTTGGTACTGCTACTCAGCATTGAAACTCTTCTGTGAGTTTGCCTTGCCCCTGTGACCCAGGATGCAATGACTGAAGTGAAGCCTGAAACCCCAGAGGGAGCAAGTTTTCATTAGCCCTGCAAGCACCACCATATCTGCTCACAACGGAGACGGCAACCTTCAGCTTGAGGGATGACAACTAACACAAATGCTATCCTGAAAGCACGTACAGAGTACGAGCAATACACTTAGGTGCTCACAGCCAAGCCTAGACTTAATCTGGCTGCTGAAGCATGGCTCTGGGTTGATGTGAGCACTCAGCACTTTCACAGGAGGAAGGTGAGGGTGGGAGAGGGAGAGGAAGGCCTTCTCCTTGCCCAGGGAAGCTACTGAGCCCTCCATAGCGCCTTTTCCAACTGGAAGAACTGATCAATGAAAGAATAGCATGTCCACATTTAGATATGGTTAACAAAAAAGTCATCAACTCCTCCTAATCAGAATTAGGAAGAGAAATCCAGGGCAGCAGCAATAAACCGCTTGCCCTTGAGTGAGGCCAGCACTGAGGTTCACAGTGCTAATTTGACCAAAAGCACTGTGTGATCTTTAATGAGTAGAGAAGAGCAAGCCTTAACAGGACTTCTCTGTGAGAAGAGCTGTACTGGCCTCAGCGACTTTGATAATAAAGTACACCACCATCCAGATGCTCTGATGATGGCTGGACATTTCAGAACTGGTAGATGACAGGGAGAGATTACCTCCGATGATAGACAGACAGACACCTTTCATGAAAGGTACAGCAGTTCAATGGGTTGTCTTATTTTTAATACCCTCCTGCCATCCCCTACAATTATTTCTGGTTTCCTGATGGAAGGCTTCCTGAGTGCTCTGATCAGTGCCTTTGGGATGATTACCAGGACCGGTGTGTTTGGCAGCCCTTGGAGAGCAAATCCCTTTGATATTTTTTTAAGTTCAGGCTACACTGCTACACTGAACTCCCCAAATCGATTTTCCATTTGCCCTCCCTTTCCCTTAATAACACTCTCTGTATACTGTGCACATTTAATTTACTCCAGCAATTTCCCGTCCCACTTTCACATTTTTGACCATAAAAACCTGGGAAAAAGATAACTTATACTGACAACTCTGTCAGGGCATCATTTCTCTTAATGCATCACATTAGAGTCTTATTGAAGCATGAACAATGTGAAGCCTGGGCTCACCGTTGTCAGCCGCCAAGAATGTGGCCTCGTAGACATTATTCTTAATGTAGTCTGACTCTCGATCAAGGACAGCAGCAGTAGTGATCTGACCATTTGTGGCATTAATGTTCAGCCAGTTTGCAGGATCTGACAGCTTAGAGTATCTACAGAGGAAGGAAATAAATACATGGCAGTCTTTTCACTGACATATCCTTAATATTGGTTGAAATAAGGTTTTTCTGGACTCCTGACCCATGATTCAAAGGACCTTTGGATAACCGGTTTTGTTGACAAACAAAACGCTAATTGAGTATCTGTTCTTTGACCTCTACAATTATTCAATTTTTCTATTTCTTTCATTTTAAAGGTTTTCCATTCCACTAAGTACCACTTACATGCCAGCTTCCTGCTGCTGGCAGTGGACATAGCCTGAGGTCTCTGCAGCTGAGGAGAAATGGGGTCTGTAATGACCACTGCATTCGTATGCCTGAATTAGAGGATGGATTCCTGCTCTCTCCTTCTCTTAACATTGCCCTTCCTAAAACAGCTCTTACTTTAAAGTCATAGACATTTGTGTTTTCTGCCCGTTGCTAATTAACAACAGCTTGGGAAATACCACACTGGAAGAATGGCAGTTTTCAGGCCACTCCTTTGTATCAGAATCGTGTCTTCAGCAGCAACTGCCTCGGGGACACTATAAGGGGAACTTGCAGCTGTTTTAAGGTGTGAACCCAAGGGTGAAGCAGTTTCAGGTCTGCTCTGCTGAAACATTTTTATATGTTCCTGAAATAGCAGGTAAGATGATCCAATGCATGTGGGAGGTTCAAAGAGAGCAGCGACAATGAGGCCCCCTTGGCAGTCCCCTTGTGCCCTGGGCTGGGAGGACCCAACGTCAGACTCATCTCCCAACTACTCAGTCAACTCATCGTCCAAGTCTGTTCCTGTCCTATGCAGCCAGCTATGAACATGACTTGTTTGGGGCAAACTTCTCCCATGTTCTCCAGATCAACGTGTTCTGTTTACCTTTCTCACTTGCTTGTTTTCTTGGTTTTATTTGTTGCTTTTGTTTTCTACCTTTCAGTATTGTACAGTTTGAGTTGAGATGGATCCTTATTACCTAAACTGGAAGCTAACAAATGGCCAAACTATAAATTACTGAAATAAGCAAACAAAAGCTGAGCTTATTTAATGGGTAACTCAGACCTGCTGATAGTTTTATATACATTTTTTTCGTAGTTAGATATGCAGTAGGGAGAATTTCTGTCTTCTGGTGAATATCCCTTTCCAGAAATGGGCTGTTTGAAGCTGAAACTCAAAGTGAAACTTGAGCTGCATCTATCCATGTGAGCAGGAAAGCAACACACAGCTATACAAGCCCCTGCCAAAGGAAAGAATTACATTTCATGGAGCTAGACTCTTTGGGATGTTTTCATTTCTTTTTAATATCACTGCTGTGAGTCTCCTGCCCTTTCTCTGCTAAATGACCAGGGATCCAGTTTCAAAGCTGGCTTTGTGAATGTGTCTGTGGCTAATGAGGATAACTTGAGGTGTGACATTGGCCATGCCAAGCTGTGCCTTACTGGAGATGCTCCTGCCTCCTTATCTTCTATTTGTAAAAACTCTATTTCATCAAAGAGAGAGATAGAAAACTGTATGCAAAGCTCCAGCAGCTGGATCAGCTCTCTGTGAAGTGCTTATCATGGATCTGTAGGCTTAGCTTTTTGGGTATCTTTTTTCCTCACTCACAAATGCCAACTGTGAAGAAAAAACAAAACATCCTTTGCATAGCTCACAAAGATGTGCCCCACTGCTTCTTTCAAAGACTCGGTATTGGGTTGTCCTGATTAAAAGGGGGTAAGAGAGATTATAATTGGGCTTGGAAACGAAGTGCTGGTGGATACACAAAATGTGTGTCCTGGAAGCCCTAGGGAAAAAATCCCATAAAGTAATTGGCTGTTCATATTCACAGAAAGTTTTACAAAACCCTGCACATGTACTGTGTGATGACAGGAACGGCTCAGCAGAGCCGGTCCTTCTCCCAGAAATGGCAGATGCTCGTTTGGATTACAGATCATCCACCTCTTGGTTACAGGGAGTATTCAATCAAATGAGCTGTTCTCTCCTCTGAAAACTAGCCTTGGTACAGACATCAGGGAAATAAAGACCCTTCACAGGCCAATATTTCAAAAAGAATAGAAACAAAACTGGCTTGTTAGTTAGGATGGTCTCTCTCCTCAAAAGTCACAATACCTATCTAAAGACAACAAGATGAGACAATGAATAAACTATCATTTTCTAGACCAGACAGCTCTGTTCCAGGTGAAATATTTCAAACTCTTCCTGACACAAAATGTCACAACTGATATGGGTTTAAGTGGCCTTGCCTGTGGACACATCGTGTACTCATGTTTTGCAAAAAATACTGTGGTCCTTACAGACTGGGAGTAAAAAAGAAACAAAATTCTGTGGATGTAGATGCATCAAAGAGCAGGAAATGCATTTCCCATCTACACAGATGGAGACTGAAATACTTGTGAAAGGTCTCACAAGGACTCTCATTTTCACACACGTTTTTTGGCCAACATATTTATCACTGGGAAGGTGTGCAAGTCTGGTCCTGGATGGTGGATTCAGTCCACAGTCTGTCCAGGTGGGACAAAATACAGTGAGTGACACCCTCCCGGTCCCAGTATGGACTAAATTTGATCTTAAACTGCTTAGATCAAACATCTGACTTTTAGAAGGCTAAAATTTTGCCAGCTGAATCCCATTCATAGGGAAAGCAGCTAACAAGGAGGTTATGTGCTAAATTGCCAAAGTTGGTATGAAGGGAAAGGGAAGGTCAGAACAAATTTCGCTTACTGCAGGGGGCTGAGCTGTTTTATATGGACTGGCATTAGTCAGATAAAGACCAAGTGCCAGAGGCATGTGAATGGGTGTCTGACTGCTCGGGCAATATTTAACTATAGGACATCTCAAAAGCCTGTTCAGCAGCCGTTTGTAACCAAGCGAGCTTTGCTCTGAACAGGCTGACAGCCACTCTCACACTGTGCTTTTTAAGCCAGGTTGAACCTGCAGGCACAGTGCAGCCCTGACCTCTCTCTCTCAATCGCTTGCATTTGAGGGTGCAAACTTCCCCTCTGCAAGCCAGAAATGTGGGATCCTACTCTGTCTGCCCTCCTGGACCCAGACGCTCATTCTGGCTTACCTGGACGGGGAAGGATTGTGAGTTTACAAGCTTGCAGGATACTCTGCAAGCACTTGACTGAGTGCCAGTCCCTGCCAAGCATTTTACTCGTATCAAATCAGTTAGTCTGTGAATTAGCATTCAGTTGCTTTGCTCCCCAAACTTCCGCAGCTGAAATCCCACTCCTGTACTTGAGCTCACTTGGCTGCCTGGTCTCTCACCTTACTGCTTGCTGCATGAAGCGATCAGGATCCACTGCTGAAAATGTTGTCAGGACTGTCCCCGTAGGCACCCCTTCCTCCAGCCTGATTAACTTGTGGTTCGTTGGGAAATACGGTGCTTCGTTGACATCTGTGACTGAAATGGTGACTCCTGCTGTTGACTGGAAGGACATCTGGATGCCACTGGCCAGGGGAGCTTGGTTTGATACCATCACTGTTAGCATGAAAGCTCTGTTCATCTCGTAATCAACTGCCTAAAACAAACAAACAAGCAAGTGTAAAGCCAAGCAGAGAATAAATTCTTCCTTCTGGTTGAGAGCTTCAAGATTTAGAAGGCAGATGATATCAAAGTCCCTTGTTTCCTCCTGAGCTCAGTTCTTTTAAAGCTGCAAATCCAGACCAGCCTCAATCCAATGGAGAATTTGGCCTTCCAGTATTTGGAGGGTCAAATAGTTCAAAAACCCTCCACAAAGTAAAAATTGCAAACAGCACAGAGGATTTGCCCTGTATTTTGTTCCAGTGCTAAATAGTTTCCAAAACCAAACCTTCCTGTGTTAGCTGAGCATTGAATGAACAAATCCACCAAGGACTGCTCTAAATGCAACAGGCAGAGCCTGTTGAGAGGGACTGGACAGGTACTTAACAGTGCTATTAGCATTTAAAGCTGCTGACTAAGTAACTAGGACAGTCTATGCAGGCTCATGAGCCTGAAGTGCTCTTCATTGTAACTCTTAAATGAGTTTATAAGCAAAGGTGGAGCTGCAAGGAACAACACTTGGTCCAGTTAATCAGGTGGTCCTTCCAGTGGGACCTCTTGTCCTCTTTCAAGATGCCTCATGATCTCCTGAGGTTGCCTGCACACTCCTACAGATACATTTTGCTGTTGGGTGGCCACAGATCTCTCTTCAACACACACATAAAGATGATGTGTTTTAGGAGCCAGAAGGATTGAAAAGCTTTTGCTGGCACAACTGACTGAACTGCAGTATAATAACAATTTCTTAACCGTCCCACTAATTATTACGAGTGAAGTTGCTAATCATCTGCCAGGGAGGCTTGAGTTATGCAGGATCACACCTCTGCTTGTTAAAAAATGCTTTGCTGTAATTTATAAATTTAGAGGCGTAACCATTCTCCCTAATACCTTCTCCAGCGCTGAGTCTGCAAAGCATACATTCACGGTGTAAAATGCCACAGTTACATTGATTTCGGTAGAGCTGCACTGATTTACATCAGCAAGATCTGGCTTCCATGTTCTGTTTAAAACCTAGTATTGTCAGGGGAGAAATCAAATCATAGGAGGCTACACGAGAGAAACAAATTTCAGGGGCAAAAGGTAAAACAGTGGAATCTCTATTCAACTGAAGTGCAAATGTTCCTATTGCTAAACTGTTTCCTGACAGGCAGGGCCAACATTTAATAAATAAAAGGAAGCATAAAGATTCCCAGTACACCCACCAGCACTGACTCACAGACTTGAACCACACTGAGAAAAGATGCGTGGTAAAAGTTCCCATTTAAACACTATTCAGGGCCTTGAAACAATTTGATTAATGCATTCCCTCAATTTCTTTTCACATCCCTCTAATTTATATTCCTTCAGTCTTCTTTTTTTTTGGGGGGGGGCTGGCCTATTTGCTAACCTTGCCCACAGCTGGTCTGCACCTCCCTCCCCAGAGAGGCTCAGACAGAGCCTGGGGGGCTGATCTGAGCAGCTCCAGGGCGGACTGATGCAGGAAACTTCTGGGCTCCCTGCCTGGTGATGCACAGGACACACTGACCACACACATACCTGCTAGGATGTGGCCTGATGCAAGGGAGAGGGTGTTTTCCCCTCCAAAATGCAGAGCTGCTCACTGAGCTTCATTCCTCTGTCTGCTAGGAGCAACAAAACCTGGGCTGCAGAAGAGCAGTGCAGGGAGCGGGGCTGGACCGGGATCTCCCAGTAAGGCCAGTCCTGGAGGCATCGGTGCCACGTGCTGGCACATGGTGACACAGTGTCCACCGTGCCTCAGTCTGCAAGAGAGAGCTGATCTGCCCGCTCCTCTCCTGTGCTCATGTGAGTCCCATTTCACACATTTTGTTGAAAGAAAAAAAGGTAAAATCAAGAGCCTTTGTCTTCACGGCGGTGCCTGTGCTATTGTCCCTGGTGGGACAGGGGTCCCTTGCGGCCAGACACAGTCCAGCCTGAAGCAGTACTTTCACACAGTAATAAGCAATTTCTACCAGAACAGTTTATACTCCTGCTCCCTAAAACTTCCTCCCCCTCAGGACAGCTGTGCACAGAGCACACTGTGTTCTTCCCACTGCACTAACTCCTTCCATCTCCATGCATCTCACTGAAAACGCTGCACGTCGATCAGGCCAACAGCAGGAACGGAAGCACACAGAGCCACTACATCTGGGACAAGGAGGTGTTGGACGGTTGCCTACTTTTTAATTTCATGTCCAAGAAGCACATGACATGGAGTTAAAAGGCAGCACCTTTGCAGATACCCATTGTTGGGTGCTCAGTGTCTGATCTGGCAGAAATGACTCTGAAACACCTCCCTGGAGATGCTGCACATCCTCCTCCTTCACTTGCCTCTCCAACCTGGATGCAGAAGAGTGAAGTCGGGGGCTTGCCACGTGTCCTCCTTTTCTCAAGGTACTTTTAACTGATGAGAACAAATTTGCCTTATATTATTGTTGAGGCAAATAATAATGGAAGCTTCAGAAGCACCTCCATTATAAATTCACAGCTCTGATACATGCAGAGGTTATAATAACATTTTACTTAGCCGGCTCCCACAGGGCAGTCACTGCTGCTCTTGGAGATTGTCTCCAGACTCTGCAGTGTCTCATCTGAGTGGGAAGTTTCCCTCTCCCCTTGATCAAGGTTTTCTTTGAAGATTAGGATCTTACACAGTTATGGAAATGGTTTGGAAAGGCATGAACAGAAAAAGGAAATGTTACACTTTTGGTGATTGGACTGGAGCTGCAGATGGGGTTTTCTAAGAGCGGCTGCAAAATGGCCCCCATGAGCACCATCTGAACTCCAAAGGGCTTCTTGGTTTGGAAGCATTTCTGGCCCTCCATTTCTGGCCTCAAAACTGCTGGTAGAGGGTGGGATTCTTCCCAGAACACCCTTCTCTGTGCCATTTCTGTGACTGTTGTAGCCCCGATGCAAACCTCTGAGCTTGCAGCAGTGAGAAGTTATGTATAAGCAGCTTCAAAGAGCCACATGAAAATCCATCTAAGTCGGGTCTGTAAATAAAAGGTTTGTTACTTGACTTCATTTTTTACCCGTGTTTTCAATCTACATCAGGGATCAAACCAGCAAGAGACTGATCCCACACCACGAAGATCTGACCAGCCACCCAGTTTGACGTGCATACATTCCCCAAATCTTTAAGTATATTCACTTATTAACAGAGAACAAAATATTTCAAAGAAGACGGTGGAATCCTAAGAGTCTTGCCTTCTTCCCCATGAAAATTTAATCACAAGCAATTTCACTCATTCTCCTTGCTGAAAATGCACCAACAAACCTCCTGGCTTGATAAGGGTAAGAAACTCTGTGTGCCCAGGAGGATCAGGTGAGGTTCTATAGTGAAGACATTCAATGCAATTTCAAGCTTTGAGCTCAGCTTAACAAGATAGGATTTTCATGTGGTTCCTTGCATTGTGATCACTGTGGGTTACACAGCAGTGGAAAGTCAACACCGGCATCAGTGGTGTCTTGACAAATCTGCTTGCTTTTTGCCTGGGAGTTCTGAATAAGGGATGGTTCATTATGCAGAAGTCCTCGTGTAGCAGTGATGATCATGTAAATCCCCTGTTGTTCACTTTGATATGCCTTTAAACTACAGTTGTGACACATTACTAGATTAAGAACAAGGGGTCCTCTCCTGCTCGCAGTGAAAACATTGGCATTTTGATTTCAGACTGTCTGCTGATGTCAACAGAAGTTAAACTGGTGCATTTCACTTTGTTGAATGCCTTCTGTTTAAGTGGAAAATATACACACATGGATAGTGTATACTTACATACACATATCCACCCATACATATGTATCTAGAACTACTGCTAAGCTTGAATAAGTTTTGTAACGTTGCACCAGATAAGGCTGTCAACCATCATTACAGAGCAATAAAGAGTAATAAAGGACCCTGCTGAAATACCATCTAGCAGGTAAGATGATGTCTCCCTTAAAGTTTCAGCAAAGTGGCATCTGCAGACACACACACATAGCCCAAGGGTCAGAGAACAGGACAAGCTCACACGTTCCTACCAGCGTAACCTCACTGGCATTTCACTGATGTCATTTTTCCTAATATCCAAAGCGTATGTATTAAGAACGACTGCAATTTACTAGCTACAAGGGAGTAAGGCTCTTTTTTTTCAAGACAGAGCTATTCTTAAATCACGTTGCTCTTTAAACATTAGTGTTTCATCCTAAGTTGCTGATTAAAACTTTTTATTAGAGAAGGCCAGACTTATGAGAAGATGCAGGCTTTGTCCATCACAGCATGTATTATCCTTCTCAGATGCAGTGCGCAGTGCATGTCGTGTGACCTCCTACAGATCACAGCAGTTATTCATGATGCCTTCACTTTTTTGGCAGTCAGAGGGAGCATCCATAGGTATCTTATCTGGGAAGAGATTCAGTAAATGCTGAACAGATCTGGTTACGTTCTGGCTGTGTGTAATGACTGCAGAAGCATTCACGGCCTGGGCTGCTGGCCTCAGTAACTGAAGGGGAAGCGAACGCTCAAATGAAGATAAAGTCATGTTCTTTGGTGGCAAGGAGGGAAACAGACATTGATACTTACTGCAGATATCTTGAGGGTTCCAGCTCTCCTAATGCTGAGGGCAGTGGTGGAAGAAAGAAGGGACAGTGGATATTTACAATTATTTCTCAGAGTCTTTGGACAAGATTCTCTGCTGGTCTAACCTGGGGCGTGGCTTTCACTTGAGAGGAGCTATTCTAAGCTAATGTTCTGTCCCACACTGTGTGTTTATTGCTTGATACTAGGAAAAGGAAAATTTCTCCAACTTTTTTCTGCCAAGTAACTCAGAGGAAAATCTCTCCTTTCCTTCTATTACCAGGAAATTCACTCCTCCTGAAATCTCTCCTGCACTCCCTGCTTTCACATAGCATTACTTGACTGATCCCCTGCAGTGAAACATGACCTCTGATTCACAGCTAACAGTGACTTTTCTGGCTCCAAAAGGAGAGGGTGCAGGGTGCACAGCCCAGGTGCTATTCCCTCTTACAGTGCTCAAAATGCTACAGAGGAGCAGGATGTGGAGGTCAGGTGTGGATGCTGGGAAGAGCCTTCAGCACATGAGGGTTTATGAAAGCTTATGGTGGGCTGGGCTGAGTTGAGAAACCCAGAACCAGTAGTGTACACTGGAATTAAAAGTATTCAGGACTCCTGCACAGAAAGAGGCAGGAAACAACAGATTGGAGCACTGGTATTCCGGGTAGAGAAGGCATGAAATAACTGCATGCTTCTGTCAATCCTTGTAGCCGTAGCTAGCTGAAAGGATGACAAATATGGATTTGCTTTGGCTTCCCCCTTACCTTCACAACGGTTACCATGCCTTCGTTGGTGATGGGGTCTGTCCGGATGGTGAAATGGCCAGAGGGGTCTCCGCTGATGATGCGGTAGATGGCATTCCAGTTGGGGGAGTGAGGCTGGTCCCGGTCCATCACCGTCAGATTTGCCACCACAACCTCCACTCTGTTCTCAGGAACTTCCCCTGAATACTGAAAGTAAAAGACAGGGGTGGTCATGGTGGGAGTGTTCTATCAGTGCTCACATCTACCTCCTCTGTCCCCTACATCAGCACGCAGACTGGGAAATCAGTCCCATGAAGAGGACAATGGGGTTATATGTTATGAGCAACACATCCCTTGCTCATTTCCAGTATTCCTTTTTTTTTTTTTTTTTTATTTGAATATTTTTCCAAACCTTTCAAAGCCTAGTTTCACCTCTCAGCCCAAAGCAGAACAAATCCGCTATCACCCAGACACTGCCCAAGTTTCAGCAAATGCTTGAAGTAAATGAACAAAAAAAGTTCTTGATACTCTCATTCACTTACAACAGAGTTAATTGTCAACAGCAGGCAAAAATGGCAGACCAAAATGTGAATTTTTTAGGATGACTATGTCCCTTTAACTTGAGGTATTTTGCCTCACTCAGATTTCAGTGATGGCATTTTATTGCTTCTTCAGTGATTTTACTTCATTTTCTTTCTTTCTTGCCCTTGATTTGATTTTGTCTCATTATTTGAAGTGTTTCTTGTGATTTTGTCACAGCCTTTCCTGGTGCTTAATTCTCTCATTTAGCACTGATTTTCATGGAGCACGTCCTGTTCAGGCATATCCTGATGCATTAGCTGCATTCTTTTCTGCTTTCCAGGCCCTGATTTATCAAACGGCTGATCAGGGATCCTGGCCGGTAAATACTTCCAGTGTTTGGGGCTCAAATGCTGCCAGCAAGACACATTCCCAAATTTTCAACTGTCCTCATCTCTCAGCATCGCCTATTAGCAGCACTTGCAAATCAACTCTCTGATTGACATATGGCAAATTAAACACTGGGGAAACGATGGGAGCGGCTGGCTCCGAGTCTGCAACTGAAATCCTGGCCCCAAACTGCAGGAGCAGAGCACTTCTGAAAATCTGGCCTTTGGTGTGCACAAATGCCAGGTTATGTAAATGATAATAAATCATTTCTTTGTTAGCACAAGAGTCCCTTTCCATTCCTAACCCATATCCATCCATTGGAGTCTTTTGGTTATGTGCACTTATATTTAGTTTATATTATTCCACCACTGACAGCAAAAATATTCAATCTGCCTTATATTAATGTAAATTTAAATTTGCCCTTTAGTGGTATCTTGAATGGCATTTTGCCCCCTTTTCTGTTATGCACCTGTCCTAAACAAGTTTTCATTAGTGAATGTAGATGGCATCTCTTTCCAGCCATGCTGAGTGGAGGGGAAGAACAGTGGGAAGCTGCAGGTTAATTCTAATTCCAGTACATGCTGTGGCTCTTCTTTTTATTTCCCCTGGTTTTACTTGTTCTTTACCCATTCTCCTGCCGAATTTAGAATCTCTGTGGCACACAGCTTAAGCAGGGGAAATATCATATGGAAATTTATCAAAAGCCTCTTGAAAAATCCATTAGATTATGTCATATGTACACTCCTATTATCAACCTTGTCTGAAACCTGCTCTAAAGAACTGAAGGAGATTAGTTAAGCAGGATTGTCTCTTACTAAATCCACACTAGTTATCAACCATTACATTAAATTAATGTTGTATGGCATGCCAGCAATGACAAACTGATGAGCCCTTGGTCTTTTAGGAGGTGGCTGCGCTGCTAACACCAAGGTATTGTATTGTAATTTCAAAGAAGTTAAGCACTTTGTGCTACCATCTCAAATGTTTGACCTAGGACCACAGTTTTTTGTTTGTTACTACTAGGCTTATGCCTTGCAGAACCAAACAGAATTAACTCATTGAGAGCAAGCCATCAGTAGTATTTAAGACATTTCAGAAGGCCAGTCCTAAAGGCTGTTGAACACCTTTAGTAGGTAATAACCCAGGTGCTGCCAGTGAGCTTGGGTTACATGGAAAAATCCCACACAATCGCCAACAGATTTTATAGCAGTTTCTGTAAAAGCCATCACAATGTCAGTTTTCAGCCCATAGCGACAAAGTTTACTACAAGACATATTTCAAAAATATGAGGTATATTAAAAATTATAAATACACAAGCACATCTCAATATAAAGCCTGGAGGAAGATTGCAACAGTCTATAAAGCTTTTCCATTAGGGTAAAAACCACAACACTTGGCATATACTGAGCAATCCAGGAGTTCATCCAGTTGTAGTTGATAGCTATCGGGTATTGTTAGGGAATGATGAGTCCTATGTAGCATCGAGGGTGTGTATTGTCTATTACGCTTATAAAGCCAAACATTTTTGTGATGAGAACAGTGTACCTTCATTGGAATCAAAGGAACCATCCAAAGCTATTCAGGTTAAGAAGCAAATCTTGGAGAGACGCACCATGAAGAACAGAACAATTTTCATCAGCTATGGGAATCCAAACTGGAGTCTCCTCCTTCTAACATTCCCCCACTCTCATTATTATAAGTAAATGCTGTAACATATATTGTCCACAATTGTCTTTAATAAAATTAAGTAATGACATTAAATTACATCTTCTAAAGGAAGGATGGCAGCTCAAAGCTACCCACACTTCTTTAATGTCATTCCCTCCCTATTCTGGAGTACTTTAGAATAATGAACAATACCATCTTTCACTACGCTTCTTTCCAGCATTCTCTGTGCTGTAAATTCTCTTTCATAAGGTTACAATTGATTTTCAAATAAAGAGAAGCATATATATTCAAACAAGGTAAAACAATGGGCAGTAGAGGAGCTGATGGAGTAAGCGTAAGATTGATAAAGCAATGCTTGACCTATACGTGTAGCATTTACACATATTCCCGTGTATTTCATTTAGCTTCACTTTTAATTGTTGTGTTTTAAGTCCTTAATTTCCAGAGTGCTTTTTTAAAGACCATTCACAAGGATTTCTATGGCTGATTGTTACACACTTTGCTTCCCTTCTCAGATAACGATTTGTTCTGAACCTAACATGTTCTTAAATCCTTAAATTCTGTAGGGTCTTTTTTCTTTCCTTCCTGTAAAAGACTGTGCTGGCAAAAGTCCTTCTCTAATTAATTTGGAAACGGCCTGTTTGAAGTCATGTCTTGCTGAAAAACTAGTAATTCATTCTGATTTTCAGGTTGCATCAGATTATACTAAAATTGGTTAATCCCAGAGTTTGCCTTTCTTCTCACTCAGTACCTGACAGCATATAAACACACAGACAAATATCACTCCGGAGGATGAAGGGATTGATGTGGAGGGACAAATGATGAATTCACACAATGATTTGACTTTGTGCAATAAATCTGGAATCTGGGCAGTGAAGCCACGCACAGCAGAGTAAAACCAATTAGTTCACTGCAGCCACTCCTAGGGAGGTGTGGAATTGAGATGGATGAATACAAAGATAATTATTCAGGCTTCCTTCTAAAGGGAATTATTTTTTTCCAAAGTTCTTACTTTTTCCTAGCTGGTTTTGCAAAAAAAAAGATGTGAAAGCAAAGACTTGTTCACATGAATGTCTGCAGGAAAGATTTTTGTGTTGTCTCCAAGATTTGCTAAAGATGATGCAACATTTGTTGCAGGCAGAAGTAGTTTATGAAGGCCGAATTGCCTAGAGAAATAGTGTTTTATGACCTATAGCTATGGATTAACGCAGAAGAATAAGGGCATCTTAGTTCTCTTATTAGACTCGGAGCCCTTCCCCTGGCAGTTATGACTGCTGCAAAGTGCTGCGTCTTCTCTCCAGGTCCTCTTGGTCGAGAGAAACTGAAACGAGAGTGGAGAGAGCACGTGTGTGGGGTGTCCTGTCTCTCACCTCTTTCTGCTGCCAGGCCCCCCGTTCCGCAGCGAGCTCGGGGTACGAGCTGACGTGCAGCCGGGGAGCCAGCACGGAGGGGCTGTGTCTGCCCACGCAAACTGTGTGAGCAGGCACCCGGCCCCAACACCAGCCCACAGCTCCTCCGCGCTTAAGGGCATGCACCCAACCGAGCGCTGGCATGCACGCCAACTGTTTACCTTTTCTGCATGATATTTAACAAAGAAGCTTGAATAGCAGGCAAATTAATAAACAACTGCGGTCTGGTTGCAGCAATCTGTGTGAAATGGAAAAAAAAAATAAAAAAGACGAAAATCTCCTAATAAATCATTAATTGTGATGTGCCTGCCCAGCTGCAGCGCGGAAACAAGCAAATGCCATCCTAATTGATTGCTTCTTATTCCATCTTTATAGGCCTGCATTTTTTATTGTGAGGGTTGAGTAAGCCCAGAGGTGTAAAAAACCTCTAGATTGTACTCTGTGTATCTGCCAACTTGATATTTAGATCAATAATCCTCTTTTTTTTTTTCCCCCTACTCCTACTACCGGTAATTTAGCTTTTCTTCCTAGCAGCCTAATTGCTGTTTTCTTAAGCCTTACTATCAATTCTCTGACCTTTAATTTCCAATATCATTTGCTGTACGGATGACTGTACTAGGTCTGCAAGTTACCCTACCCCCTCTACGCCGCGCGGGTCAGACTTGGCTATCAGCTTCTCTGACAGTCAAACAGTGACCTCCAGGTTCTCGCTCCACCGCTGCCATTGCACAACAGGGGACCACAAGCTCACTCAAATCCCCACAAAATCTCCATAAAGTCAACCAAATTTTGCGTGCAAATCGGATTTTGAGATGCTCATTTCTTAATCACGTTTTATTCAAGGCCTACTCACTTTGGTGTGATCTCTAATGACGATCACCCTCTAAGTACCGACGCCCTCACTGTTTCCTGAGGTAGCCCACAGCACCCCTGCTCTGCACTGCACCAGCCAGCAACCCCTACGTAAGACTCTTTGCTGCTGTTTTTTTTCAGTTTCGTGCCCACAACACCCCCCACACTGCAGCGTCCCTGCTTCAACTTCACGTTCACTTAGATCTACTCCACAGTCCATCCACGTATGCATATCATACTTCAGACTAGTTGTACGCCATGTGGCAAATGCTTCCCAAAACGTTCTCTATAAAGCCCAATGCACTCTTGCCAGCTCGCAGTTTTGCTCTGCTGGTACGAGGCCCAGCTGTCACGGTGCTCATTCAGAAA